TATAAATATGCTTGGCTGCTATACGAGCTGACGCAGAATCATTTACTCGGTCGTATTTAAATCTGCAAACTTTACGGAAACACAACGAAATCGTTGCATTCATCAACGGGTTTGCTACAGGTGATGAACAGTGGATCACATGCAGCGATAACTTGCGAATAAAAAATGTGCTCCACGATTTGGCGGAGCCCAGACAGTCACCAAAGGAAGCGATGTTATATATTTTGTGGGATTGAAAAGAAGTCATGCGTTATAGTTTTTACCGTCCGGCCAAACAATTGATTCGGACCCTTACTATCAATAAGCATAGTGACAAGATTCTAAGGACCCATTGCAAAAAATCTACTGGAGTTAGCAAAGAGAAAAAAACGTGTCTCTTACCATGATAATGCCAAACTATAGGTATTTAGCTGCAAACAAAAACTGAGAAAAGTTGTATGAAGTGCGCCCACCGCATAGTCCGTATTCTGTACTCTCAGACTATTCTCCACCTTGATCTTTATGGACCACCCTTAATGGGGGACACTTTAATAGAGGGACGTAAAAATCACTGGCGACAATTTTCCGCCCAGGAACCATAGAATTTCTATTGTGATAGAATTATGGTGTTACCAGACAGGTAACAGAAGGTCATCAATTTAGATTATGCATATTTAGCTTAACGATATCGCTCTAAACTAAAATATAAAAAAAATGGTGGCTTCCATTTTGACTTAAAAACAGTCACTACTTTTTCGACAATGCAATATATTCTACAAAAAAAATTAGGCCTCTGACGTACACTCAGCTAAGTCTACAGCTATTTATGTGAAGGGTAACACCAAAAAATCGCCGAAAAGGCGCAAATACGGAAAATAATTTATTTCGAAATTACGAATCAAGTAGAAGAGTTGGTTATCGCAATCGTGTGTGCGAAGCCTACATAAACGGCAGTTTTGTTGTTTCATCTACGGTTTGACCACGGAACTTTCGCCGTAATAAGCTCACTTGGCGAATGCCCGATCCTTAAAATTCCCGTTATTATTATTTTTATATAACACATCTTACATAATTCTAAAAACACATTTAGGTCAAGCCAGGAACATTTTTTTTATAGGCACGGTTCGAAAGTATACTGCCGAAAATTTTTGCGCTTGGAGTATCACTCTAGAACTTCGTTGGCTACCTAAAATTGACGGTTATTGTTACCAAGCGGAATGCTGCTTGCAGTGAACCCGAAAAGTACTTTAATGTGCTAAAGTACTTATGTAGAAAGTCGGCTAAAAAGACTAACGAAAGTAATTTACGTTCCCTGTAGCTTTTCAAGTTAGAGAATTTAGTACAACTAATGTCTCGACTCTTTTACTGAGGAGTTTTACTGAAGCCCAATTCATGGCTTATACGAACCTGACGTCGATTTTGTATACACTGAAAGATTCATGGGTGCAATTCAAAGCCAAAAATCTTTCGACTGTTTTATTCTCAAAAGCAGTCATTAAGTGATATAAAACAGTAGCAGCGACGCTATGGTTACGTATATTTTGCTAGAGTACAAAAACGAAGCTTGTTAGTCTATTTTATGAAGTAGACTGTGGGAAGGGTCGATAAGACCAACATTGTGGAGAAAAAGATTTAGCCAGCTCCCAAAAAAATTGAAAGTCTGCTTCTAAAGCTGAATGTAAGATCAACTAAAGCATTACTGAAACGAAGACGAATTAGAGTTGAGCTTACTATGAGGAAAACTAACGAATTCCCTTGTATGAATATTAATTAAGGTAATTCAGGTAGAGAAAAAAAAAATTCCTAAAAATACTCGTACGTATTTTTGGGTATGAATTAAAAAGTATAAGGTGAATGGCAGTTAGTTGGACAAAATACTTGGAGAAGGACACCTTTGCCGACATGCTAAAACTATGTTTGACTTCTTTCGGTTCGACCAATTATCGTGTCCGAATTAACGCGGAAGGAAACTAACAGTGACTGATCGAGTTGGGCATCGATTCAGTTCTAAAAGCCACCCAAAGAAAACAGTGAGAATCGTGCATCTTGTAGCTCTAAAGTAGCATTTTTCAGACCTATCATTATTTTTATATGAATATTTAAAGTCGCATTTGCAATCCATACAACATATAAACTATACAATTAAAAACAAGAGCCTAAGCCAACTCGCTCATACTAAAGCCGAAATGCACAGGAGTCAAAATAGTCAAACTCGCTAAATCAAAAATTTGTTGGAATGATTTTATGGAGAGCCGATGTATTATTTTACTACTAAAATTTGAAATTGGTGGGAAGTGACATGCCAGATATAACATCAGGGATATATGTGATTGCATCAGAGCTATTATTATACCAATTGAATAAGCGCATTGCAGAAAAAGTCTGCTCTTTTGTTCAGAAGACTCCTCAGCTGACTAGATAAATTACTAGTAGTGACCTAAGTAATGAAGATTAAGGTTCTTTTTAACTATAAAACAAAATTTCTTAAAAAATTACTATAGTCCGAGGCATAGAGTTGAAGCCCCTTTCTCTCATTCAGAATGATTCAAGCATTAAGACTATACAGATGTTAAACAAGCATCGGTTCTGGAAAGCTATGTACTTTTTTGACTCAGGTAAGTATCTTGGCAGAATAGGTTACTCGGTCATACTACAAGATAACAACAAATAAAAAAATTATTTGATATACCCAAAACTATTCTCACACTTGGATTCACACAACCTTAATTAATTTACCGCATTTCGGTATATCTTAACGTGCCTATTTGAACGCGAAATTATAGGATCATTCGATCGGCCTAGACAGTGCGTTGCAAAGCCGCTGCGATCGTGTAAGTTATTTCTGGCCATTCAAAAGTATGACTGCAGAACTTGCTTATAAAACTCCTTTCTACATTAATGAAGTTTATAAAATGTATCAAAAAGGCAAAAAAGCTATCTTTGATGCGCTTAGATGTTTAGTACACAAATGAGAGGACACAAAAATAGTTTTTAATAGCTGGTGAAGACTACTTGAATCGAAGAAATTGGCGTGTTGGCATCTGAGTTAAGTAGATTCAATATAGTGCAAGATTCAATATAGGTAGATTCAACGACAGTGCAAGTAAAGTTTATTGTTGTTTTTCTTGTTGTTGATGTTGTCGCAGAACAACAAACTTAGAGTAGCGGAAGAAGTGCGTCTGTAATTTGGGCGAAGTCCAGTCCTTATTCAGTCTGTTCGCTCTGAGCGAAGCATCAACGAGGTTAAAAAGCTACTTTTTGCTTGAAATCGACATTACATGTTACAATTAGTTCTCTTATGGCTTGTGCAAAACCAAAAAAAAGGCTTCCATGAGGCAAACCTGAGCTTTTGTATGGAAATAAACAGCCGTTTTGAAGAGAAGAATATATTCAACTGCCAGTAGGTTGTTCAAACAAACTCTGATGGTTAACCTTTGAAAAAGATTTTTAAAGAAAAGTTTCGACTTTTTTGCATCTTTTGATTTTTTGACCCTTCTGCGTTTTAACTTACTATCAACCTAAAATTTAATTACGTTGAAGTATATGTTGTTGTTTAAATACATGAGTATATATTAAGAAAAAGTCCGGATTTATATATATATATATATATATATATATATATATAGCGTGCGTTATCACACGCTAGACGGCCGACAATAATTAAAAGAGAGAACTCGGAAAATATTTAAGAAAAGGTACTAAAATACGAGCCGACTGGTCAGTCAACGCAAGGATGAAATGTGGGTTCAGTGCGAAAATGTGTAGAGAAATATTAACTTAAACAATTTTTTTTCATAAACTTTATAAATTTGATAAAGTAATAAATTGACAAACCGCATATAATTCTAAGTCTCAAGGTGTAGTCAGGTCTCGATCGCAGCAACATGAATTTTTTGCATTACTTTTGAAAGGGAGCGCGCAGTTGTGCGATGGGATTGGTTATACAAAATTGAAGTTGAAAATTGAAAAAAAAAATAAAAATGGGAGCGGTAGTAGCGAGCATTTCGGGCAGTAAGTGCTGCAGAGTAGCAATAGTAAGTAAAAAGAACAAAACGTTGGTTTCGTAGGTTTTTGAACGTTGTTAGGGGAAGTGTATTCTGGAACTACAGGGTATAGTCAAAATTGACCAGATTGTGTTAATGGTTTCCTGAATAGGGTAGCGTCAGCATGTGAAAGACGTGGCGCAGCGGGGTATAACAATTAGGTAGCAGTGTATCGCATGAAAAAAGAAAGTGAGATATGTCATATTGCTTTCGTGGCCTTTTCCTGGGAGTCTGACACCGCTAGTAGGTTTCCGAGGGTAGCTGTAGTGTCCAGAACAGAACATGTCAGGGGAAGGCCGAGATAGGATTAATGCCGAAGCAGTTTTTGACAATGAGCTGTGTAGAGGCAGAACAGAGATACAACGGGATGTGACCAGGGTGTATATATAGTTGTATTTCAACAGAGAGTGTGCACGTGCACTAAGCTGCACTTCTCAATCGATGCAGCCGCGATGCATGCTTCCTTCATGCAGCCGCATGAAGGAAGTGAAGAGAAAGTTAAAGTATGGCGTGAAGTAGCGCGTGACAGCCTATCACATAGGAGAAGGAAGTAAATGTGGCTATGTATATAAGTCCAAATGATCTTTAAAGTGTATGTATTTCAGAAGGCTAATGAAAAGTTAGCAGACCGGCGGACGATTTCAAGTCGAGGCCCTTGCCCGTGATCATAAACCATATGCCGGTAATCCATGTCTATATATCTGCCGACAACCCGCACTGGCCAAGTGAAGAGGAGGTTATGATACGTGAAGATTACGCGGCAATGTAATATGGGTTAGACAAGTGTGGGCCGTCCAAGTTCGAATTGTGTTGGTAAACCTGCGCGAATAGCCGCAATCATGAAAGGCAAAAAGATTAGATGAACACATTGCTGGCTACGGTAAAATGGGTGACGACAGTAACGGGTGTTGCAAGAAGCAACGTGGCCGACGGATCTACTTAGTGCGTTATTTGAGTTGCATAAGTCAGAGTCGTATGAGAAACATTGAGCTGAGTGACACTCGAAGGATGCTGTGCTTGCTCTTATGACCTACATAACCCATAGTAAATACAGGGATCTCATCAGCTTAGGTAGTTGATTTAAATTTGAGTTTAATTTTCTAAAAAACGATTCCCAAAAAGGAGTTCTACATAAGAGATAACCAATAGTAACTGCTGTGATGAAAACCCTTCTGAGTCAAGTTGTGTGCGCCAGATCGAAGCGAAGTAGAAACACTGATAGAAGCTCTTCATAAATAAATGTTGACGAGAACTTGATTATTAAAACGATTCGAGAATTGGACGGAGCAGAATCTCTATAATTGTTATGCAGAGCTGAGCTGTTTACAGCGATGCTTGAAGCGGCCCTCCTTAGTTGCCCACCATAACTATTTTGGAGGCGAGTGTGAAAAATTTTGTAGTATAGTGTAGCAGTTAGGTAGTGACCCACTAAAATAAAATCATCTACTTGATTAGTGGAAGTTGCGTTGTATTGATCATAACGGGATTCCTGGTTTATAAGGCTTCCCGATTAATCGAGAATTCGCTGTCGCGCTAAAGGGTGGAACGCACATCTATTATATTCTGGCTAATGTTCAGTAAGGTCGAAATATTTGCTACTGAGTCTAACTGGCATAAGCCCTTTAAGTTCACAACTTGCGATATTTGTCAGCATTATAAACTATTAGTGTGCTATTACAAAGGATTGTTGAAAAAATGATAGCGGCTTTTTTCGGTGTTAAAATTATTTATGCTTCGGTTTTTTTGCGCAATATGACTGTTCTCATCCGTTGGTTCCTCTCCCATTTTATTGTATGTTTGGACCTTAAGAATAAGAATGTCAGGTAAAGTGAACGAAAGATTTTAGCTTTTCACTAATTTTAAAAAGCTTGGTAGCTAACCTAAGGGATTTGCTACGCATGCGATGAAGACCTTATAGCTAAGAGATATGGGTTCATCTAACATGCAGCTTCTTTTTAGTGTGATTCAAGGTGGTCCTCATCGAACCCGCAAGGCCCTTTTTTCTGAACACTGACAAAATAAACAAAAATTGTGATTACTTGCAGATTAAAAAATCTAATTCTCCTTAAAAAAATATTGTTGAATGTTTTTATAATTAATTTCCGGAAATGACGTTTTATATGAGGGGTCGTTTCCGAAATTTCTGTAAACATTTTTTTAGCAAATCTTACCAACAAGAAGCATTTGTAATTGACGTTTTTTCTATTTTCATCACAGGAGGCCTGTTCCTTCAATTCCACCGCGTATTCCTGACCGACCTGGATCACAAGTTCGCCCGTAAACTGCTAAGCCATATTTGACTGAAAATCATTTACCACAATTACAATACAAATTCTATGCTTTCAACGGCCTTATAGTCGACGCAAAAGGCCACAATAATGAGTGATTCCATTACACTGGACCTCTTTTTGTGGTTGGTAATCATTTGCGTAGATGTCAATATGAAATTCGCTCGTCGACGTAATACAGGATGTGACATAAGAGGAAATAAACAGCGCTAAAGCGGATCAGGTTGTACAAAAGCAAAAAGCAGCACCACAAAGGTATGTTACAATATTACTGTTTTATATACAGTACTTTCTCAAGAATATAGCATAGAGGTGTTCAACGCTCAATTGAAACCGATTTAAATAGCCTATACATGAGTCCTATCAAACGTTATGTTCGGTATTGTGCTAAACTTTGTTTTTTACGCGTTTTTCATGTTTTTTGGTCAATTTGTGCCGAAAAATCTACTTCCATAGTAAATTCCCCTACTTTGGCCAGTTAATCCCTCATGACCAGTCTTTATTTGGATTTTACAGTATTGGCCAAACACAAGAGCGCTAAATAGTTAACTTTACTTTTCTGGTCGTTTATTAAATAAACGGCCAATTTCGCAGTTTAATCTTCTGCCTTAAAAACAAACCGTTTTCGCTGCTTGACCTCATTCCGCTAATAATTATAAACTAGTTGTTAAAGATGAAAGAAGTCCGCTAAAAATATTACTAATAAATAACGTGAGTGCAGTATAATTACTTATCACTTAACGCGAAAGATTTGTAGATTAAACATTTTGTATTTATTTTATTAACCCTTCAAAACTCCTTTCTACTAGTCTATATTTAGGCCCAATGGTCGTGCAGCATAGTGTAGTTTTTTTCGAAAACGTCCCTATCAAACATGAACTATATGCTGATGACTTAAAAGTTTTACTTCGAAATAAACAAAGTGAGTAGTGCACTTCTGGTTCAGGAGGCGATTGACGGTATACTCGTTCTTAGCCAAGGAAACTACTATATATTCACATATGGCGCTGTTGTTGAGGTTATTTTAGATGATACAGTATGTTTTAGAGGTGCTAAGCAGATGCCGTGCGTACCGGTTCATAACGACGCAGGTATTGCCGATTTTAAGCTCAGAATTTATGTGGCCCCTTTCAAATACTGCACCATGACTATATTTATATTACAGAGTAACAAAACCCTAAGTGTTTTAAAATCTTCATAATCCTCTAGTCGTATTGCTCATAAGGGTAGTTATTAATTTACCATAGGAATATAAATACCTTACAAAATGTTCAGGACCGTTTTCTAAAACGCGGTGCATGGAGATGTAGCGCCAATTGTGAGTGGATTCAGCTGCATCCCCAAAAAGAAAATGACCTGTGGACGGTCAACAGATTACATGCAAACAACTTTCCCGGCGACTTCTTTGAAATTAAATGAAAGAATCCACGTAGTGGCGTATCCATTCTCTGTAAGTAACTACTTGTGACACTGTTAAAAGCCTGTTTTCGCCGCGGGTGAAGAGCTTATCCTATTTAGACAGACAGCTGCTTCGTAAACCAGTTTATTTAGAGACTTTATATTGCACTGCATCTTAGGCGTCTTTGATTCAAATAGCAGATAGTTCAAAGAAGCTTAAAATATCTCAGTGTTTTCTGGTAGTTAAGTCAAAGGTTCTTTGTGCTTCTAAGCCATTATTTTGAATAGATCACAACATTTAACCTAGGTTCGGGCTCTTAAAATAACTATGTAACTGAATATGTGACACCAGTTTGCCTATATTGAAAAGCTGCAGAAACAACCTCGGATAATTCTGTCATAATAATTCCGGATAATTCGGATGATTCTGTCATTAGCAGATATAAACGAACGTTCATCCTCCCTTAAAGAAGCTCGGGACTGTCTTTTTCTAATTTACACAGCTAAGTCAAGTATCTTGTTTCACCAATGGAGTTCTCTTCATGCACGCTACATCTAGGTGGAATTATAAAACTTGTTGTTTTTTTTGCTACTCGACACACGTATCTTTGGAATCCAAACATAAGCAAAAATAGGCTTATCCAAAAAACGGCACCGATACCCCTGTAAAGAAATTCCTTCAACAAAATGTAATATTTGACCATTATCGAAAGAACAACTGGGAACGCGGAAGAAGTGCAAGCGCTGATTACGAACAAATATATCTTTTCTACTTTACAGGTGGTGTGGATACGGAGTCGATTCGCGTAGCCACCCTCCTGACGTGGGAAGATCCTTAATGATGCATAGCATCTGATCACACTGTATAACAACTAATTAATGGCTTAACTCTACTGGTCCTTACAACAAAAAGTATTTATGAAAATGGTTAGCAACATAATAACGTGCACTAGAAATATTTTGTTTTTCAATTATAAGACGGAAGGTGGACGGATGCAAAAATAGCGCCCCAGCAGGGAGACAAAAATATTCGTTATATATATGCTATCGATATATTTAGGTTAATTATCCGTATGAACTGTAGATTGACTGCTTTGCTGAACTGAAGCGGGGCGTTGTAGACAATATAAACAAACGAATTAATAGACTTGACTGACGTATATAAAACGCATAATAATGCGTACAGATATGTAGCTGATATGTGATATAATGGAAGAACTTAATATGACAAGGCGATCCGATTTCCTAAGTTATTTTGACTCTGTATAAGTCCTGCTTGAGATTGGTGTCTGTGTCTATAAATCTTGGATATATTTCAGAATTAACTAAATTGCGCCAAAAACAATAAGTGAATCTTTTTGATACAACTGACCCGAAAACAACGATTGGTGAACTTTACAACATCGCACATATTTTGAATAAATTAATATTTCAAATAATTGTCTTGTTTAGTTTCTTCAATATAAGGTACGCAAGGAACGAGCGGCGTTTGTCGAGCTCATTTTCCAACAATTGGGCGTGAGCGACCCACTCCTGTAGCTTTTTTCGTTTACAAATAACTTAGGTAAAATTTGCTTTGGCTTAGTGGTAAGCGGCCACATTATCTGGACTATTATTTCGAGCTCTAATATTTCTGAAACACGCTTGGAATAAGCGCTTGGTCTGGTTACCCCATTGAATAGTTTCCAAAAGCGAGGGTCGTTGTAGTCGTAGCCTAGAGATTTTTACCGTCTGCTGATTTAGTAGATACAACTTTGTGGTCTACATATGTACACGGGATGCGATAGAGAAGTCTGGAATTGACCAAGGTCTATTTACTGTTAGATATTTCATCTAACTCTGTATAGCAATGCAGTCAGCTTAAAGACAGCGCCTGGTGCCGAGGCCGCGTATCACGGATACAGAGCGTTTGTAATGTGTTTTGCTTTTTTAAGCTAAATTGGGTTTACTTAGATGTTGATTCTCGGTGCGGAGGTTTTCTGCCGGGCAAGACATTACCGAAATCTTTAGCGTCATTAAAAAAATTCTATCCCATCATAATAATTTAACTCTAGTCATGCGATGAATAATGAGGTTTTGAGGCTTGGTTGTCTTTAAATGGTCAAAGGCAAGAGCATGAATGATAATGGTAATGGAACTGCAGTTCAAGCTATGCTTACGCTATATTGCACTACAGTTTCAAAAAGAGATTAAATGAAAACGCTATATTAGAGCACCAATTAAATTCTACACGAATATCCAAAATTTAGAAAATTTTGCAATTCATGTCCCGAATTAGCCCACTGAAAAAAAAATAGAACGTGTTTAACTTGCGCGGGAAAGTGTACCCGATTGAACAGACACTTCTTAAAAGGAAAGCTTTTTTTCCATTAATCTACAAAAACTTGATACGATAGGAGATCTGTTTGGACAATGCTGCTGACCAATATATAGCCGATAAACATTAGAACTCATGAAAGCAATGCGAGCTCTGGAACAGCAGAAGAAGCGAATGATCGGCATGAAACCAGATCGCAAGAGGCATTTAGGTTGCAGACAAAATGAGGCAGTAAAACAAACACCAAATCGGTGTAGATTAAACTAAGAGGAATAAAATAGCAGAAGACTCAATAATCGACGTTGCGCTAGTACGAAAGCAATGGAGAAAAGCCAACCTGAAAACATTTGGTTAGATATCGGTAGGATAAACGAAATGTGTCATTATTGTACATTAGAATATCTTTTTGAATGATAAAATGGCTTGGTCAAGGGAAATGGTTGTATGTAAACAAACATGAAATCGAATGAGATGCAACCGCTTGCAGAAGTGGACAGTTATACGGAAACAACGGGCTGCCAGAAATTTTCTGCGAAAATATTAGGGCTGATTTCAGATGATTTAATTTGGTGTCACTAGAAAGTAACGTTCTCCTGCGGGAACGAACGATTAATTATAAAATATGCTGTTTATCGCCAGATATAGACACTTACTCTATAAAGCGGTAAGTAACACCAACTTTCTCATATTTACCCTGTGAATTCACAAGACACAATAAACGGTACCTACAAATCATGAACCGTAGGTTTCATGCTGTTACTTAAACTTAGCAGGTACAACTTTCATATTCGGTACCCAACAGCTACCGTCAAATGTATCAAAGATTTGCACGACCCGCGTGTCATTATTGATTCTGAAAAGACCACCAAGCAACATGAAACAACCGCCAGCAACAGACTTAAAGGAATTATTATTCAAAATACCTCAGGATTAGGACCGCAACGTATCGTGTTACGTCAGTAAGACAATTCATATGAACTATAGGGCCACATATGGTAAACGAACGAATTGCAGATGATTTCGATTATTTAACTGTTCACAATGTGGTATTGTTCGACGGTTAGAATCGTGAGCCGTGCATAGCCCAGAACAAAAACGCTCTGCAATGCTACGCGTATGACTTATCAAATTGCACTCAATTTTATTCATCGTGCAAGCCTTTTTTACGAATGTCTACGAAGATGGAGTATCTATCTAAAATAACCAACAACCTTTATGATAGACAAATTATAGGGGATTACGTAAACGACAATGACGATGAACTTGCAAGCGTCGATCTGTCATCTTCATTCGAAGGCGTATTAAGATCATGGCAGAACTTTCATAGGAAGCTATAATGTACATTCGCACGTGCGGAAATTCGTCACTATTCTAAATAATAATTTTTCAAACTTAATAAATATACATTTTCACATACTGAATAGTGTAGAACGCAGGAAACTAGCTTGTTTAGTCTATTTTTACATAGCGTATCGACTCTTTTAATCATTTATCCAACTCTTGGGTACCGGACTTATCTTAGCCAAAACACCTCTTCGCGCGACCTTCGGTCGGCTGGCCTGACCTTTCCGAGCCACTAGAGTTTCATCTTGGAAAAGTTTACGTGGAAGGTAGAGCCGCTAAATGCCTTTCTCGATACATGGAGGAGTTCTTCCATAGATCGTATCGTTAATTTGCTCGATCATAACCTTACACGTTTGAAAACAACGCCGGGCCATTGTCTGCAAAAATCACAGGGGCCATATGCATGGTCCGCGCTAATATAGAATTCGTGAAAATTGAGTTGCGCGAACAATTACGCTCTATGTGTGTTGCGTAATTAGTAAACTGTTTAAACAGTGCGTTAAATAACATACAACTTTAGACATTTCGTGCTCGTTTGTTTGATTAGGGCGATCATCATTACAGTAAGGGCTTAAATAAGTTAGCTTTTGGTAGGAATCATTTTGCACATCCTTTTTCCTTGACCAAGTGGTGTCGTTTGTTTTTATTGAAGTACACGTAGAGGCGAGTAACTCATGCCACCGAACGAAAGCAACTGTTTATAGATCGCAGTATTATCGTACGGGACGTGCTACACATTGTGAGACTTTGTATCAAGATTGCAAAAGTACGCAGGTTACGCAAAAACAAATCGCATAAAATCGCGTGGCCTGGTCAGCCTTATTATGAATATAGTTTGCCTTTCACTTTTTTATAAAGTAAAATAGCATCGCTTGAAAAAGGGCTCGGGACGAAGTCTAAGGCCGAATCGGTGACGTGTCTGTTGCAACGCGTGTCTTAGGCCCACTTGTGGTGAGTCAATATTCCAGAATTCGATCTACGGTGGCCAGAATTCGATCTACGATGAACCTATACCGAAACGTGCCCTTAAGTCACCTCAGTCGTGCTCAGGCGAAGCTAGTTAAAGACCGGCGCCTGTAAGAAGCGCGATGTTTGGCTCCTCTGCTGACCTGTCGGTAGACCTGAACCAGGCGATGATAGCGATAGCTCAAGCATGTCGACTGCGCGCAACTTCTTGAAGCCTTTAGACCATGTCACTGAATTTCCACCAAGAGGTCGCACCCCCCGCCACCGACGACGGAACTGCGTGCGGTTTTGGGACGTCTGCCGTCATGTCCTAGCTCATAATCATGCCCAGATATCACCGTCGCTTCTGTTCCGCGACAGGCCCTCGATACGGTCGTCAAGCACCTTTCTTGCTAAGCAAACCCCTAACCACAAGCAACCGCTGCTCGATCAAGGGCCCACTTGCACCTAGGTACTGAGACATATCAATAGTATACCCATAAAACGGTGGAACAGATTTACCGACCAATGCTGCGGACGACAGCCTTCGGAGGAGAGCTGTTGCGGCAATCGGCCTGGCACAAGCGAGGTGGCTTAGCACCCCCACCCACCTCAACGTCATGTGCAAAAGTTATGGTCATTGTAACGCCCCTTCAAAGGTGAGATAGCCAGCTTCTACTGCATGCAAACGAAGTGAAGTTGTTCGACATACAACTCTCCGCAGAATTAGATCATTAATACAGAAGCAATATATCCACTGCTCCGGCGTTCCCAAAAATTAGCCGCCACCACAATATACTCTTCTGGATAATTTCGCCAAGCTCCATGACACCGTTGAAACTCTCGAAGGTACTTGTAGACAGATTAATACACACATTCACCATTTAACGGTAGCTAAGAAGTTAATTATAGAATTTCGAGACGATTTCGAGACGTTCGCGTTTATGTTTACCCGGACAGGAGACCAATAGGGGTTCTAGCAAGGACATATAACACTCAATTAGTAGATAAGCTCGGACTCATCGTTGAACCAACTCGAGTTCCGATATGATACCATATGTTTTCGGTACCTCAGTAGTGTTTTTGACGAAGGTCATCCTAACATGCACTCGTGTAGGTTGCAATTAATTTCAGACTTAGGTCAATCGTACGACTTCTTGCAACAAGTTTTTGTTTCTGCGAAAAGGACGGGTGGCAAATTTCGTCGAAATTTTTTCGTTCGAAATTTCGATCGAACAAACTGCCCTTTAATACTTTTTGTACGATAATCACGAATCAAGACAATTCATGATATTTTCATGAGATTTGGGCAACTGTTACACCAGTATTTAGTAGACATCGCTGCGAAGATTGAATCGGCAAACCTCTTCTATGTCCGAGTTAACTATCAGATCCAACGCCGCAGAGATGACCTATCCAACGTCGGAAAATGCTACGCTCTTTCGTTTTTATTAAAGGAGATCTTCGATATATGAATGAGTTACGCCACGACGTCATGATATACATTCACACGTACGACAACGCGTCCCTTTTCGTCACTGTAACCTGCAACACTCCGTGGCCGAAGTTATGTCTAACACGAAGGCCAGCTTCCCGAGGGTCGCCAAAACTTGAAAGGGTTTTCTAACTGAGTAAAGAAATTTTTATACAAAGCCACATACGCACATTAGGATCCATTATTGCGTTTCCCGAGAAACAAGTGTTTTTTACGAAGAAGCCGGTAAGCTGGAAACACTTACCTTTAACCACATTTTTCTCAATCAACTGTACACGAAGCCTCTGACCATGCAAAAGTATCCCTAATCGGTAATAGCGACATTCCAAACATCACTATACG